TCCGGCGCCAGCTCGACGGACGGGTCCGCGGAGTGGACGTCCCACGTGGCGGTGGAGGCGAGCACGGTCGCCTGCCCAAGTCAGTGATGAAGAATGACATCGTCGGCGACAACGGCCAACAATCGTCTCATGCGGCTTGCCGTCTCTCGGTGGAGTTCAGTCACTAGTCTTACGGCATTCACTCGTGAGTGAAGCGCAGGCCTGCTTTCCGGCCTTGGCCAAGTTGACCGCCGCGTCAGCCCCGCTCTCGTACCCTCCGATGACGACAAAATCGTCCCCCGGCAGCGACGCGAACCTAGAGACCAGAGCGATGACTGCGAGACTGCGAGACAGGAGGGTGCAGCCGAGCGTCTGCTCTAGAGAGAAAGGACCCTCTGCAAATGGGTGCTGCGTGCGCTAGTTGGAAGATCACAGCGGGTTTCAGCATCTGAGCTCGCGAACGAGCGCACCCGCGAGTTGTGCCGGCAGAGTTCGGCGCCTGCACAAGTGCAATACACCGTGTGGTGGATTGGTTGATCGATCAAACGCTCTGGTTGATTCATCAGCCATGTCGCAGGCAGAGCTCGGCACCTGCGATGGCGCCGCCGCCCTCGCGCGGGTACTGGAACTCGCCCGCCGCCCAAACGACGTACCTGTTCACAGCTGCGGGTGTGAAGAGAGGCTGCTCGCATCTGAGTCCCTCGCCCGCCGCCCAAACGACGTGCCTCGCCGTAAGCGTCTCGCCCGCGCGCGCCGGCCTATTCCCGAGCAACCTCGGGTGATCTTCGGGGAATCTCGGGCGCGGCCCGCTCACGCGAGAGGGCCGTCGCGCGGCATGCTCGCTGCTGCCGGGCTGGCTGCGCACGCCGACGCGGAAGCGGGGAGGCCCGCCCTTGCCGCCCTCCGCTTTGACAGAGATCACCTCGGTCAGCGTGCGCACGTTGAGCTTGGCCGACGAGGCGAGGGCGTCGAGGTAATCCGCATACTGTCCGCCGCTTGGGTGTTGCGCGTGCAGCGAGTATGCGGGCGAAGAGCCGTGCGCCACCTACAAGAAAGCTCCAAGACGGCTTAGGGGAGCTTCGAGTATGCGGGTGAAGAGCCGTGCGCCACCGAGTTGAGGTCAAACGAGTTGGTCCAGCCCTGGTTGTTGAAGGAGGGAGAGATGAACCGCATCTCCGCGGGCCAGCGGCGGAACGTGTCGCCGACTCCCTCGCCGCGCTCGATCAGCAGCACGCGGGAGGCGTCGAGCCCAAAAGTCTTTGTCAGCATCAGAGCGCAGCCAACCCCGGCTGCCCCTGCCCCAACGATGATGACGTCGACTGCGGCTGCGGCGCCGGAAGGCTCTTTGCCGGCTGCGCTGGCAGGAGCGGGGTCCTGCGGGAGGTCGGAGAGGAGCTTCTGCAGGCTGTCGACCTCACCCTTGGCCTCCTCGCACTCAGGGTCCAGCCGCACTGCGAGAGTGAAGTGGCGCCCCGCCTCCTCTAGCAAGCCGGCCGGTGGCAGCCCGCCCTCCTGCACCATCTTGGACAGAGCCGGGTACAGTAGCGCACGGCCGCGCGTGAGCGAGCTGCGTGCCATGAGCGGCAGGCACTGCAGTGCCTTCTCCGCCTCGAGCGCAGCATCGGCATACTGCTTCGCCTCGAACAGCGACTCGGACTTGACGGCGTGCTCTTCCGCCGAGGCGAGCTGCTGGTCACCAGTACCGCGGCGCTTCTTTGCCATTCTTGCTTTGGTAGCAGTAGTAAAGGTCGAAGGCACGGCAGCGTTCCTTCCTGTGCTCGCTGTGCTTGCTCGAGGCGTGCTGCGTTGTGCGGATTGCGTCTCTTTTTTCTTTTTTGGATTGGATTGGTTCGATCCGCATGGTACGGGACCCCATGAACACCCCAGTGCATGCCGTCCGCACATATGGGCTGCCATCGGCATACCACGGCGCAAGCTCACCGCGCCGGAGTTTTCTTGTTTCCTATCATCTAGAACACGAGCCGTCGTTGCCTGCCCTCCCGGAGGCCAGCCCGCTAGTCACACAAGTCCTCCGAGACCAGATGAAGGGTGGGCTCCTGCTTCCCCAGACAGCGCGAGAGGACCGCACTTTTCATACCTCTTGTTGCGGTTGTGTCGTGGCGAGACTCTGAGATTTCGAGAAAACCAAACCTATATATCTGGCCGGCTAGGGAACCCGACCGCCTAACGTACATCGAGGTCACGGGTGCAATATCTCTCGCTCTCGCCTTGGCCGGAGCTTGGCCTGGGGGTTGTCTGCGTTCCGTTGGCCACAAACCTCCCACTACTGTCACTGTACTCTCTCGGGACTCGGCGGCGTGCTTGGGCACGTTGCGGCGCTCTCGCTCTGTAGACGCGTCACGTCGGCCACTATCCGATCCGCTCGACTGGCTACGCTGCCCGGTGCCAGCCGACCGGACCTTCTTTTCCGATGCCAGATACCACGGGCACGGCCTTTCAGGCAGCCGAAGCTACTGCGGCGTGGCGGGGTTCGCGCTCGCCATCGCACTTGCGCCCAGCAGCCACCAATACCGACCCTCGTGCTTGCCCCACACGCCTTGCTCCAGCTCCGCCCTCGTCACTAGCGCGCGGCGGAGCGCCCTGCGCACCGCCGCGGGGTCCGCGTCCATCCCGACCTATTCACAGCGCCCCGCCGTGAAGAGACGCCGTTCTCAGCACCGTCACGGCGTCCGCGTCCAACTCGCAACACCATCCCGACCTCCGTCCTCCGATCGCCGTGCGGCGCGGCGCGGGTCCAGCCCGGCATGTCGGCGGGCCTAAACCAGAACAGCCGCGAATCAACACGCAAGGCTCGGCGGACAGGCAGCCACGCCGGCGTGTCTGCGGCGCCACTGCGACACGGGCAGCTGCTTGGCGGCGAGCCACGGCTCACCTGGAGGCACGCTCCAAGAATGGGGGCGAGGCTGCGGGTGCAAGGGCTGGCGGCGGGGCACGGCTCGCCAGGCAGCAGGTCCATCTGGTTGCCGACCTGAGGAAGGGTGCAGAGGATGTGAGCTCTACAGCACGCACCCTGCCCTCCGCCGGACGCAGAGCTCTGCAGCTCGACTGCCCTCTGCACTCGACAGCTCTATCGCGCTCTACAGGTCGCCGACTTGGCTCGACGTGACCGGTGCCGTCGGCTACTCTCGGTGGCACCTCGGCTAATCTCGGTGGAATCTCGGCCTGGCTCCACGTGACCGACTCGGTCTGCCGGTCGGCGACCCAGGCGCAGCCTCGCGAGCGGATCACGCCGTCGAGGCGGCCGCACATGAGCAGCTCGTGCAGCCGGGCGGGGTGGAAGGGCCTACAGTCCCGCGGCATTCCTCTCGGGTCCTCCCGGGCCACCTCGGGCCACCTCGGCTCGGGGTTCGGGTGGAAGGAGCGCCGGCGAGCGAAGAAGGCGAAGCGGCTCAGTGCTGGAGGTACCCACTCGCCGCTGCCCTCCTCCTCGCCGCTGCCCTCCCCCTCGCTGCCCTCCTCCTCGCCGCTGCCCTCCTCCTCGCCGCTGCCCTCCCCCTCGCCCTCCCCCTCCTCGCCCTCCTCCTCGCCCTCCTCCT